ACAAGGGAATCTGTATTAATTTTAATATGCAAAATTATCCGCTTATGAACATACAAAATAAATCAACGGATCTTTCGCCTCGAATCGAGAAATGATCGCGGCTTCAGGTCGCCTCAAAGATGCGCTAGTAAACGCATACCGCGAGTCAGCGAGTTTTAAATAAATAAGAATATCTGTAATTATGTGAAATGCGTGAGAAATTCAAGCCATAGCATGAGAACGTGATTCCTCCTTTAAATCTGAGTCTCACGCTTAGTGCAGGGATATTATTTACTAGTATTTAGCTGCGAGAGAAAATAGAATAACTGATGGCTGTTAATAAATGAGCCGTGTCACGACAAAACCAACATACTGTTCGCTTTTAAACATTTTAATAAGTAGAGAAACTGATAGCGAACAGAATGGATCCTGATCAGACTGCGCGGATGCGCAGGCTGGTCTGGATCCATGCTGGTCGCAAACGCACTATGTTGGTTTTGTCGTGACGCGGCTCAAATTAATTTTTATACGAGTAGAAAAGTTTTAAAATAAATGTCTGCTAGATTTATATAATTAAGACTACCAGTGAATCATGACTTACGTATTTGTATTATTCCCACTTAGGTGGCCTTTTAATTATATCTTTCAATATTCTGAATTGTCTTTCAGTCCTCGAGGTATGTATAACCATTCGTTTCAGTTTTTTAAAGATTGATACAAACTTTTGCAGACAGTCATACCCTGATTTGTTGAACATGTATATAATTAAAGTTTTTCATCGAAATGCGGGCACCTGACAGGACTTTAAAAAAAAGAACATTTTACGGAATATGTCTAAATACAATTGTTGTTGATGGTTTTCACACATTTTAATTCCAGTCAGTATGCTATTTATCGGAAAAGTCGTGACAATTTCCTTGAGAAAAATATTGACGTCACCAAAATCATTACGTTTTACTCATCCTTTATCTTATATTAAAATAGTAATGGCAAAATATCTTACGCGTTGACCCTATATTTTTATTGCATAAATATTTTCTTTCATGACTTCACTACATGTTAAAAAAATTATAGCAAAATTCACCGTGTTGTTTTTTGTTATTTTACAATTTTTATTGCGATATCGCGCGATATTTGTATCATAAATGGACGTCAGAATGTAGAGAAAAATGACGTAAAATCGCAGAGTATTAAGCAAATGTTACAAAAAGACATTATTTCAAAGACATACATTTACTGAACATTATAAAATTAAAACGAAGGAAATCGGATGAAAATTAATAAGAACAGACCGGTTTATTGATAAAAAAAGACGCAATTTCGCCGCCACCGATAGAGGGCGCTTTGACGTCATAGTAACGCTGTTTATATGTAAAATAATGCTGCAGAAGTAAAGCTTACATATTTATATTTATGTATACCAAAAATCATAAAGATCTAAGATGTTGTCAAATTTCGGTCGGAAAGTAGCGAGCTACCTTAATTCAGTCTACTTAGAATATAAGGAAGAATATAAGGAAATAGCGACACTTTTCCGCGTAATAATAAACACCCCTCGTAGTAGTTATACAAATGAATATAATATTACATTATCCGGAATATCATAATTGAGTCGCGTCACGACAAAACCAACATAGTGCGTTTGCGACCAACATGGATCCATGCTGTTCGCTTACAAACCCTATAACAAGTAGAGAAAGTGATAGCGAACAGCATGGATCCTGATCAGACTGCGCGGATGCGCAGGCTGGTCTGGATCCATGCTGGTCGCAAACCCATTATGTTGGTTTTGTCGTGACGCGGCTCTGTGTCTTTTTCACCTGAGACAAACATGTCATTATGAAGTGTAAAGTATAAACATGAGCGATGCATCAACAGTCAAGTATTTAAGACATATTATCACGTGACATGACACATTTGATTCACACTTACGTTCATTGTAGGGGAAGAAACTCGTAAAACCATATGTTAGTATTACGGTATAAGTTATCCTTCATTTGTTAGCTACCCAATATATATACACAAAATATATCAAATAACCTAAATGTTCAACAGAATGTAATGCCAATGTTGACTATATCAGAGTTGTTATTGAATACAAACCAAACAAACAAAACAGGGCATTACGGTATAAGTTATCCTTCATTTGTTAGCTACCCAATATATATACACAAAATATATCAAATAACCTAAATGTTCAACAGAATGTAATGCCAATGTTGACTATATCAGAGTTGTTATTGAATACAAACCAAACAAACAAAACAGGGCATTTCTATGTGGTAGATAAAAGGCTGACAAAGTTAAACTTTTTATCGTAAAACACTTCGAGATCATTGTTGCCAAGAGTTACAAAAGACGCTGATTTACAGTTTGTTTTTTTTGGTCTGTCTGAATATTGTGAAAACACTAGTAAGAGGTAATATGATTTAGACTCTATAAATAAAAGATGATTTGCTAGCTGTCGTAAGATAATACATTTGAACACAAATCAATCAACCAATTGCTCAATCAGTTAGGAAATAAATGAATGAATGAATAATTGAATGAATGAATGAATGAATGAATGAATGAATGAATGAATGAATGAATGAATGAATGAATGAATGAATGAATATATGAAACACACTGCTGCCTGAACAATGCCCGCAACAACTTTTATTGAAGTCTCTTTTTTCCCAATTTATTATTCATTTTATAACTCGTGAATAAAGCCCTGAAACCTAACTTGAACTACATTGTGGTTCCAATCCATATATCTTGTCTTAAAATAGCGTTATTTTCTGTTAATAAATCATGAAACATTATACCTTGGTAGTTTATTTATACAATGATATCTGTCAATACAGATACATGCTAACGCTTTAGTGAATATATATTAAGGCTATATACAATATTTGTAATTCCATGAGCCTAAAGCACAGTTTAAATTTTAAAGAGTCAACTATTGTTCCGGATCTGACATGTATTTATACATAGAAACCAACTTTAAACCATTCAAAAAACAGTGTTAAGTATCCTTTTTACATTGTATTGACTATCTATTACCCTGTTTTCATGAATAAAAATCTGTATATATATGCTTTACGATTGTTATTCACACAAAAAAGAACCATAAAAGAATCCAAAATTCTTTGAATTCGATAGCAAATGTAACTTTCCTGATACGAATGAAGATCAAGAAGTTATTGAACAACAACAGCAGTCACAACAACAACAACAACAATAAAACAGCATTTTTTCTTTCCCTTCACAAATATGATCTTTAAATATATAAACAAGATTTTACGGAACGAAGCACACGATTCTCGTGCAGTGACAGCTGAGCAGTCGGCAAGTATCGCACATTCCTACACACATTGTTTGACAGGGATTCCGTTTATTATAATAGAGCTATATAAAATAGCATCAGCATAAAAACATACATCTTATAATTAACTATACTATAGCATTTACTCCATATATCGTTAGTAATTGATATACATGTACATATAAAATGCACTTAAGATAGTAAAGAATATCTTTTTAAAAATAGAATCAATATAAGACTATGTCTTCTTTTTCTAATAATTTTCTTGACTGTATGATTTGATTCGTATTATATTTGCATGTTAATGTTTATATGTATATACTTTGGAAGAAAATGAGTTTGGACGTAATAAATGTATAAGCCATTTTTAGTAAAAATAATTATACAATATATAAATTGTTATTTTGATTAAGACAATGAGTATGTAAGTTTTTTTCTTATTTGTTTAATTAAGAATTAATCTGACGTTATTTAAAAAATCTAAAAGTATCTGCCATGGTTAAGAACTATTCACTATTTAGGGGTAAAAATGTGTAAGCGACCAGATAGCTCTATCGCTACAGCCGCGGTACATTATTCTGTGCTAAAAGTATCTGCCATTGTTAAGAACTATTCACTATTTAGGTGTAAAACATGTGTAAACGACCAGATAGCTCCATCGCTACAGCCGCGGTACATTATTCTGTAGGTCACATATTCGAGTTCAGGTCAAGCTGAAAGTTTTTCTCATCCTGTGACTGCATATATAACCCCGAGTTTAATTCACTATGCTCTGTAAACATCAGAAATTCAAGGACACAAATCAATATAGTGGGGAAATATGTTGTGGTTTAGAACTGTTCATTATTAAAGAGGAAATGTGTAGCCGGCGGGATAGCTCAGTTGATCTTCTGACAGTCATGGGTTCGAGTCATGGTCAAGCAGTTTTAGTGAGGGTTTAGAAGTGGTTTTTCAACTGACACATGTTTGATTCATTTAACAGCTTGTATTAAATTTGAAATGGACAAGGCATTATTGTATGCATGATACTTTTAGATCTACAAAAGGCATTTGATACAGTTAATCACACTATACTGCACATGAAGAAGTTAATTCTTCTTCTTCTTCTTCATGGAACTTCTAGCATCTGCCATAGGTAATGACATTCTTACATGGTTCAAGTCTTATTTCTGGACAGCAGCTGGTGGATGTGGCTGGTACTCATTTTACTACTGCTCCGAGTACATATGATGTTCCCCTGAGGTTCATTTTAGGTCCTCTTTTATGTCTAATATATGTCAATGACATGTCTGCAACCCTAAGCAATAAGCTTTTATAATATGCTGATGACTCATGTATCCTTGTATCTGGTAAAATAAATCTGACGAAATTCTCTCTGATGGTATGACTCTTATTAGTGATTTGTTTATTGACTAACCATTTTCTTTGCATCTTGGAAGGCAGAGTCTATCCTTTTTGGTTTAAGTTTCAACTTAAACTGGGCCTAGCCTCCAGGTCACATGTAATGGTACTGCTATAAAGTACACAACTTTTGTTAAGTATTTAGGTGCAGGACTTGATCAATTTTTTGGGCGTCGCCTTTGATGCTTTGCATCAATGCTTTTCTTGTACTTAATTATGATACTATTCGCCGGTCTTTAGTAAATCCCGGTCAAAATAATCCGGGAGAGACCGGGAATTACCGGATAAGTACATGCCGCGATAGGACGGCATTTAGTTTTGTTTTGTATGAAACCGGAAGTAAAAGCTCTTCCGGATGAGTCATGTTGTTTTGTCAAAATAAAAATATTTCAACTGAAATGAGTTAGATATTTAAATAATGGCAGAGGGTGGAAAGTCAGAAAATGCTAAAAATACTCTGCCGATTCGCGGGAAAGTAAGACAAGGTAAATTACTTTAGAATATTTGTTTTGGCACTGCTTAAAATTGATTAACAAACGAAAATCCAAACTTTTCTACTTCTAGTTCTACATCATACTGCTTTAAATCGTTTTACGATCACACTAAGCAGGTATACATTGTATACATTAAATGCTGGTGGGCCACTTAGTATTTAAGGGCACCAGTGAGTACTTTTTACCTGGGTGGGTTCTGTCAAGTATAATACTAAAAGGTACACCTAAAAGTAATATGAAAGGCTTACTGACACTTCACCCCCCAGACACTTCACCCTAGGCCCTTTTTTGCAGACACTTCACCCCTCAGACAGTTCACCCCTCATTTTAAGAAATTTGATTGAGACACTTCACCCCTCATTTTTATGCCCCCACAAAGTGGGTGCATATAGCGTTGCACTTGTCCGTCCGTCTTTCCGTCCATCCGTACGTCTGTCCGTCCGTACGTCCCGAAATCTTGTGAACGCAACTCCTCTTAAACCGGATGGCAGATTTTGCTTAAACTTACAGGGATGAACAACCTTAATGTGTAGATGGTCGTAAAGGAAGGAATTTTCGCTGCGACCAAATTTAACAGAATTATGGCCCTTTGTTGATTTTTTCACTATATACTATGTAGAAATTTTGTGAACGCAACTCCTCTTAAACCGGATGGCAGATTTTGCTTAAACTTACAGGGAAGAACAACCTTAATGTGTAGATGGTAGTAAAGGAAGGCATTTTTGCTGCGACCAAATTTAAGAGAATTATGGCCCTTTGTTGATTTTTTCACTATATACCATATAGAAATTTTGTGAACGCAACTCCTCTTAAACCGGATGGCAGATTTTGCTTAAACTTCCAGGGATGAACAACCTTAATGTGTAGATGGTAGTAAAGGAAGGAATTTTTGCCATGACCAAATTTAACAGAATTATGGCCCTTTGTTGATTTTTAGTTTTCAACTTGTGGCACATGTAGTCTAAAAAATATTTGACCTAGAGTCATAAGATTGACAAAACAGTGGCGTGTGGGGGCATCCGTGTCCTATGGACACATTTCTAGTTTTTATTTTGTGTTTAACAATTATTTATGAAGATTATGTTAAATACATTCAATAGTGATTGAGTATGTTTATTGTTTTAACCCGTTGTCTAATAAATTTGAGTTGATTCAATTCTTGAAGTTTTGGTACTTAAGTTTGTTTTCAGTTTGATCTTTACCATATAATAATCATTGAGTTACACTCATTTGGTGATGGTTTGTGCTTTAACTTTGTGCTTAATTTACATAACTGGTGCTATGTATTTGTTTAATAAATGACATTATGAATGATCTTTGTATGAAATGCAGGATAATTGTGTCTGATAATGATGATAAATAATTTATATTTACTATATTTTATAAAGCAACCGATTCATTCATTCATATTCATTTATATCATTTTATTTATTAAGAATAAATTTAATTTTCATACAATTATACCATTTTAATTCAATTATCTAATCAATTGTGAGATAACCGTTGAATAAACAACTAATCAACATGTTGAATAAACAAGGTGACATGCAATAAACACTTAATGGATGAAAGTGCTGTGATATACATTTGCATAAGCATTTTGTTGTTGACCAACTTCTTTTATTTACTTTATAGAAAAAAATTGGATGAGGGGTGAAGTGTCTTACTGATTTTGGGGGGTGAAGTGTCTTAAGGGGTGAAGTGTCTTCAAAATTTGAGGGGTGAAGTGTCTGGGGGGTGAGGTGTCTTGCTACCATATGAAATTAGGCAAAGCCTATGAACGGGGAAGTCGGTAAAAAAATCCTTTCATTTTTCCGTTTTAAAGGTGTCATTCGGTATTATATGTACCCACTTCCGTTTTCACTCGGAACACTCAACGATTATTATTAATCCGAAAAGTTGAGATTTGTTACGTTATCGGAATACACCGCCTTTTATCATTGAGTTACATTGTAAATGGCGGCGCCTTACTAGAACTGACACTGAAAATTTCATTGATAGGTATAGAATTCTATATATTTTTTAATTGTTTTTTATTTTAATTTTCTTTTAAATATACACGTGTAGTCTATAGCCGGGCAAGCCAAAGCCCGGGCCCGCAGGTATTACCTGGGACATCAAATTATAAAACCAACAGCGTCAATGATATAAGCACTTGGTGTCACAAGCAAAAAAGAAATAAATGGGTTAACAACAAGAAGGTGCTCAGCAACCGTGTTTTAAAGAAACAGAAGTTTGTTGACTTGTTTTTAATTTAAAAAGATACTGTAATTTACCTGGGATGTGGAATTACTTTCCCGACTCGGTCCTTTTTGCAGGCCGACAAGTAGATTTTCACGTAGCGGTAGTGCAGGGACAAGTGAATTTCTGAGTAAGATAAAAGGCAAAATGCCGAAATTCTAACCATACTTGATTGTTATTTTCCTGATGTTGTTTAATCCGTGTTTACAATGTGTAAATTTTATTTGTACACCGTCTCCAACAGCACAAATAAATCCATACTATATGATGCAATTCATTAGATATTGAGCATTTCGTTTGATAATTTAAATTACTTTTTACAGTAAAATATAAGTTTGAAGAAAAAAAAAATTTAGGTAAATAAAAAATAACAACAGTCAAATGTAAACCAGTCAACAAATTTCTGTTGCTTAAAACATGAGTTTACAAAATTAAAGCTTGAATAAAAAGCTTCATAGCATTGCCTTTATAAGCTATTTTTAAAAAAAAAATTGGGTCTGGCAAATGTAGACATCTGAAGCATGACAAATACCATAGAATTACAATTTTCATTGTTGTTTTTTATTTTATTATTGTTTTGTTATAAAAAAAAATGAATGACAAAATATCACAAGCTTTTTCTTTTATTTAGGAAGAGTTCCAAGTGCAACAATCCTATCAAGTACAATGCACCTGATATGTAAATTTGATAATGAAAGTAAATGATCCTGTTACACAATTTTTTCATGGTTTTATTTCATTTATAATGCTTAAATTAAGATTTGTTAATTTTGTAATTTCCAATTTAAGCAATATTTATAAAGATATTACCGAATTTAACATTTCATGTAAATAAAGGGAGGTAATTGGAAATTTAGTTTCTATAAATTCTTAGTCAAATTTTCCATAAGAAATGAATGCATATAATTTATTGATTGAATATAATGTGCAACAATATTTGCGGTACACATATTCATCGATGTTTAAAAATTGTTTTATTTGCATAATTATATACTTATATAATTTTTTGCAAGTGTGGTATACACACAGTAACAATATCAATCACAAAACATACAGGATCTTTAAGGAGAATTTTCAAAGTATTACTTTTTGAGCAGTGATGCTTTGCACAATGGACAATGATAAATGATTGACAATTATCTATATATCTAAATTTTTTGGCAATCAAGAGAAAAACATATAGATTTGTTTATTATGCACTACAGCAATGATTTAAGATTTTATATTGTAACTTTTACAGTTTTGAAAATACAAATGTGAAATTGTCTAGGTTGAAGAATACTTAATTAAAGAGTTGTCCCCATTTTATAAAAACAGGAGAGAGTTGTCTTCCCTGTCTGAATTATGATTGAGAAATTGTTAAGAGTGACAATAAATAAGTGAATGAGGAATTGTAAACAGTAACCATTTCAGGCCTTTTTGCCCTTTATATATACAGCTAAGCCGTGAAGTTTAGCTTTAAAATTTAGATTTTCAATTGCAGTTTTTAAAACAAACAGTCATGCACATTCTGGAGGTAGGTTTTGTTGGTTTAATAAATACAGATACTAAGTTTGGCTAGTGAAGTTTTTTTTGCACTTTGAAATATTTATGTTGCGTAGATTGTGCTAGAGTATTTTGTATTTTGTGACTTGTTTTTATTAATACATTATGCAATAGAAAACAGTATTTTATTAATACGTTATGCAACATAAAACAGTATTCCTCACATCTCGGGTCAGGGAAAGTGCACAGGATAACTGAGGAAATGAGCAGTTTTTATACTTTATATCAGTCCTTGGATTCATCGTTACCAGGTCCATGTGATGGTTTTGTTTTGAGGCATTTTTTTTGCATTAAAATAGCAGCAGAAATGAGGTAGATTATATAGAAGGGTAGAGGGGATTTTACTTAATGCTGGCCTTTTCCATTGGTTTAAAAAAATCTTAATAGCCCCTCTATTAATTTTCATGTGGGGTTTGAGATGCTATTGTTACTATAAACAGGGCTGACTTTTCCTTCTATAACAGGGGCCGATATAAGGCCCCTTCACAATTCAAAATTGCACTTTTTTTCACAAAGCGGCAGAAAAAAATTCACAATTTCAAAAGAGATTTCACAAAATATTCAGACTTTGTCTTGGATTACATTGTTTACCTTCCGGTAAAACTTGATTTACACCAATTGCAATAACACAGAAATAGTTTTAATCAAGTTACATGGTTTTTGCGCATGTTAACCGGGTTAATTTACTAACTTGAAGCAGATTTGACACAGGTCAGAAATTATAATCAATCGTTTCCAGTTTCAAAATGTCAGGGAATGCCAAGTAATATGTCATTTTTTTTCACAATTTTATGACACTTTTTTTCACAAAATGAACAGGCCCAGGCCCCTTCAGTTTTGACAAAAAATGCCTGATAAATGTCCTGTGCATTAGTGTTATACAATTAGTAGTCCTGAATCTTGATAATGATAAAACATTATAGGTCTGAAGCTTTAAAAATCCTTCTTTCCCAAAGGGATGACACTTTTTGTCTTGATCCATGTATCAAAGGTCAAGGTCACTATTTCAATTTGAAGATTATGATGTAGGCTAAAAAGTTAATGTATTTGTCCTTACTTCATCAATTGGGTTTTTGTGTTTATTGACATAAAAACTCACATTTTAATTGGGGTCAGTAGGTCAAAATCATCTTGATTTGGCTTAATTATTTCAGTACTATTTGACATTATGAACCTTTTAACTTTAAATGGTTTAAAAGATATAG